AGTTGAAGTGATAGTGAGAGAGAGAGGGGGCCGGGATAGATTGCGATTGGTGAGTGAGGATGAAAATATGGTAGTGAGAGAGAGGTGGTGAGAAAGAGAGAGGTGGAGAGATATAGTTGTGGAAGAGGAGGTGGTCGAAGAGTGACAAAGAGATGAGTGGAAGATGAAGTGGAATGCGATGGTACATAAATGGGGGCTTCAGAAGTTGAAGTGGTAGTGAGAGAGAGAGGGGAAGGGGGGGTGTGATTGCGATAGGTGAGTGAGGATGAAAATATGCTCTTGGTCTTTTAATCCATTGATCTTGTTCATTTGTTTGATCTGCTAGCATGGTAACTCCGTTAATCTTGTTCGTTTGTGTTTAATGAAGTGCTCTGCCGAGGAGCTCTTTTACGGTACCCTGTGACAAATATGGGCCGTCCAATCGTGAAATCTAACAATGGCAACCGAAGGATACTGCTCAAATTTGCCAATGAAATCACGAGCAGTATAGCTTGCATTGCTTGGCTCTCGTCCTCCAGTATGGACGAGACTTGCCTGCTCCCTTCCCATGCTCCCATTCGTGCTCCCGCGTACGTGGCTTGATTTGATTGGAGGAAAATAAGACCCGACCCCACCCCCTGAAAATCAGGGGGGGAGATGATTAGATTAGAAAAAAAAAGAGAAAAGGACAACCGTAGGATGAAGTGGGAGCACGGATGGGAGCATGAAAAGGGAGCAGGCAAGCTGGATCCCTCCAGTATACATATCGTAAGGGTATTTTGGATAGAAAAAGTTTATGCCGGTCCGCCAGGCGAAGGCCATCTATGGCGGATCAAGAGGCTGCAGAGCTAGGCCTCTCTTCCTCGCCATCTATGTTGCGTTGTACTCTCCAGTCTCTCCCTCCCTCCCTCCTCCTCTTCCTCCCGCCGCGAGGAGCTCGAGGAGGACTCGCCGCCCAGGACGCCACGCCACTACTCCCCAGGGACCTGACGTGTTTCAGGACCGGTCGGCGCTCACCCGTGACTGCTCTTGCCTCGTCTTCGTCTCCATGGAGGTCCCTGCCGGCGTCCCGTCGGAGCTGTGCACCCGTCTACTCCGGCGACCTCCCCTCCGGCAGCGCGTGCAGCCTCAACCCGGCTTGACCACCGCCTCCTCTCCAGGCGAGAACGGCTGGTCTGATCAAGCTGTAGGACCTCCGAACCCACGTCCAGGAATTCTGGACATCCGATGGCTTCCAAGTTCCAACAAACGGTACAGCCGCCCGGTTGGGCTGGGCAGACGAGACCATGGCTCCCTTAATTTTTAAACAGAGAATGTCTATCCTATCCTCAGAAATTCAATGGTCAGATTTTAATATACTGCTCCCTCCCCTGTCAGCAGTACAGGGTACTGTAAAAACGGTCCTGCCGAGAAGCTTATCCTCGGCAGTGCTGCTTCGGACAAGGAGGTAGCCTCAGCCAACTGCTCGAACGGCAAGGCGGTGGTCGATGGCAACGCCCCCAAGAGGCCCCACAATTACCACCATTTCCATTACAACTTAGGCCCAAGTAACTTCTGCAAGATCATTCTTGCACCTATGTTGGAGTACCTGTCAATACCCACTGACTTCATCAAGCACATGACCACCATCGCACCAGAACTCGTTCTGATGACGAACACGGGCTATGCCGAGAGTATCACGGTCCAGGTGGTCAACGGCAGGATCACCCTTGAAGGATGGCGCCCCCTCGTCGTAGCTCACCAGCTGAAGATCAGGACCTCGTCACCTACAAGGTGCTGAGTCCCGATAGCTTCAAGGTGATCGCCTTCCACATCAACGGTGTCG